TATATTTAACCTTATTGCTAGCTGAACCTCTAGCCTAAGACAGTTCCTGTAGGTTTGGAGTTTTCCTATGTAAGGCCAGGATTATTAGTCTCTCTGGAGATCATGATTTTATTTTTGAAAGATCCATTATTTTAACCTGTTGTGCTAATAAGTAGGAGAAAAACTTTCTTTAGGGAGGTCTCAAACGTTTGCTCTTACACCAGCATATCCTCAAGCACCCAATACACCATTGAAATAGCCACTGCGGAGCTATAGGTTGCCCTGGAGTCTGTGAGAAACAAAGCCTGGCCAGGAGCTTCTGACTTGAGAAACCTTCCACCAGATGTCCCTTTAATAAGTGCATAGTTGTTTGAAGCATATATACTCGCCACAGTCCCACTGAAGGCTGGAATAGCTAACAACTATCGCTAATGTATGTGTCTGCAACACATTATGTAACTAACGACGTCATTTGACATCTATGAAAAATAACAAAACTCCAAATGCAAAGGGCATTTTCCCTGCACTTTGATGTCTTAGGAGGAAGAAAGCCAAAGCAATTCCAAATACTCCGCAAAATAATGCATTTGAGAGTTAACACCATCAGTGTCAGATCCAGGCAGAGACATGAGTATTGTGTTAACAAAAGCTAAATCGGCTCTGTGGCAGCAGAGAAACGGTGGATCCAGCAAGAAATGTGCAGGAATCTAAAGAGGCCTTTCATAAGATCACAATCAAATGAGAGAGAAAATCTCAACAGCCTTCCATCACCATCACCCCTCCCTTAGAGGTATAATTTTCCTTTAGTTTGTGTTCTTAACTATACAATGGCATAACTTATATATATTTTCTTTAGTTATCTTAAGTTATATCATAGTCCATTTTATTTTGATATTATTGCCCCCATTTGACACAGCGGTATGTCTGCGGACCTACAACGCTAGAAACCGGGTTTCGATACCCGTGGTGGGCAGAGCACAGATAGCCCATTGTGTAGCTTTGTGCTTTTTACAAACAAACAAACAAATCGATATTATTAAAAGTTATCTGTAAAACTTTATCCAATTTGTATTTTGAGTTTTGTTGATGTTATAAATATGAGTGTGTGTTTTCAGTGTGATTATTATTTCACTTTTTATTTATTATTTTCTAAAAAGAATCTTAAGTTTCATTTCATTTTGTTTTGTGTTTTCAATTTAATATTTTTCTGGAAAGGGGTTAGTACACATTTTAATAAATACATGTAATGTGAAATTTAACGTAACTCACTGGAGCTCTGTTTCATTTAGTTACTTTTATATAGTTTATTTATATAATTTTATTTGAATTCTTTGTAACTCACTTTTTATGGGCTCCAGTATTCACTATGGATTTTTTATTCAATTGTAGGTAATGTTTTCTTCGTACTTGTAAATTATATTTTGAATATAGTTTTATTTTTATAGTTCTGCAATGCTTTTTGACTTTAAATTGAGTTCAATTTTGCATTTTTAGTTTACTTTTTTTATTTTGTAGTATATTGAGGTCTATTCTTCACCCACTTTGTAACAAAATGTTTTATATAAAATTAATTTAATTAACTTTAGCATCTTTACTTTGATTTACAGCTTACAAGTATGTTGGCTAGCTAGATTTAGCCATTAATGTTTGGTGTTTATGGTACATGAGAAACAAAAAGCCCTAAGACATGGCCTAGGGAGTGTAGCAGACGATAAATGTGTATGATCTACCTTTGTATAGCTTTATTCATACATTTTTCTGCAGTAAGTTGATGCCCTTGTGAACAGTATGTGAATTGCTGTAAACTTGCATTAATTCTCACTTCAGGCTTCATTAACATACTAAAGTGACAATTGAATAAATATACTTGCTTGGCTATACGCTTTCCCCTCATATCCCCATTACTGTATGAGCAGGGAGTTGATGTCCTCTTGAATACGTCGTTCATATAGATAATATAAGATTGAAGGTCTAAAACTCAAACTCTGGTTCTGACTTAACAACGTAATATACCTATATTTCATCTTGTGTAGATGTCTCTCCCTAGCTCCAATTGTCAGAAATGTTTTGATAACATACGTAAATGCTGCGAAGTACTGTATTCGTTGTGTTTGTAAGTGCATAAAATAACATTTTTATTGTTGTTTGTACATTCGCTTCCAAGGTTCTTCCTTTTCTACCCATGATCACTTTATGACATCCTAAATCAGCTATTTATCTTGTATGTGTATATCACATTAACAACAAATAGAATTCTGAACAACTGGAGTTAATATTCACTTTTAAAGTAAAAATTATTTGTATCACTTAGGTATTAGTTTCCTGTTATACAAAAATCTGATATGTCGTGAATTTCAGTTAATTTCGGTGTGTAATCAAGTATCCTAAGTTAATATCACGTTGAGTGTTGAATAATTGGAGTTAACGTTTAATTTGGCAGTAAATATTCCTTGTGCTACATGGATTTTAGAGACATAAACAGCCCAGTATAATGAGTTTACTTATTGAACTTTAGTTTATTTAGTTGGGGATTAGGATTTCTAGTTATCCTGAGTTATATTACCTAAAGGTTAGCGTTTAAGAATTAGATTAGGAATAAATATTCCCTGTACCACTTGGACATCAAATATATTAACATTCTGTAATGAGATGATTACGTATGCTTAATCTTATCCTATTCGGATGTGATTACTTATTTTTCTTAAGAAGAATGAAATTTAAGATTTACATTTTGGGTGAATATTCTTTTTATGCCTTAGATATTAAGGAAAGCAGTAGTCTGATGTAAAAAGTTTGTTGAATTTCACTACGTTTGTATGTAATATAAAGGGTCATTTTGTTCCGAGTTAAATAACTCTGTATTAGTTGGTCAAAGGAAGTTAACATGCGAAGGGAATTTCAGGTCATTAGGATGATGTTCAAGGTATCTTGAGCCAATAATAATGCATGATCTCAACCACAGAATTTAGCAGTTACACTGTGGAAAAATATCCTCTGTTCCATTTAAACATCAAAGATGTTAACATTATGGAATAAGAGGTTGAAACACTTTGAGTTTTAATTTATTTGAATGGCAATTTGAGGTCCAAGCATCGGATTTTGTAGGTTAGGTTCCGCGTTTTGCAGTAGGTACATTATAAAAATGATAAGAGTAGCCCAAAAGTTGGCGGTAGGTGGTGTTGACTAGCTACCTTGTCTCTAGTCTATCACTTCTAAATTAGGGACATCTAGAGCAGATGGACCTCGTGTAGCTTTGTGCGAAATGAAAAGCAACAACGAAAAACAAAAACGAACAAACAAATCCTAACAATATATTTCCTCAACAAAAGAAGTAAACGTTAAGTTCGTTGAAGATATTTCTTGTGCTAATCAGCCATTAAAGACCTTAATAGTCTGGTGTAAAAAGTTGGTTTGTGGTGAATTTCAAAAGTTGGCGGTAGGTGGTGTTGACTAGCTACCTTGTCTCTAGTCTATCACTTCTAAATTAGGGACATCTAGAGCAGATGAACCTCGTGTAGCTTTGTGCGAAATGAAAAGCAACAACGAAAAACAAAAACGAACAAACAAATCCTAACAATATATTTCCTCAACAAAAGAAGTAAACGTTAAGTTCGTTGAAGATATTTCTCGTGCTAATCAGCTATTAAAGACCTTAATAGTCTGATGTAAAAAGTTGATTTGTGGTGAATTTCATGATATTAGTAATGAAATTTAGCATTTAAGTTTAGAGTAACTGTGCCTTGTCACACTTAGGTATGAAAAATATCAGTAGTCTGTTACAACACGTTAATGCGTGTTGAATTTAAGTTCATTTGAGGTGATACAAGCATGTTATTGTGGGGCAAATATAATTTGTGCTACTTAGACGCTAACATATTAGTAGGCTGGTATAATACATTGATATATGTTAAATTTCAATTAATTTGGAATTTTAAAGTAATCTCAAATTATTTCCAAGTTGATTTTAGTTGTGAAGATTCCAGCTCCAGATTTCATTAAGTAACTGGTAATTATTTTTATCCAATAACAAACAAACTTTTAAATAGCTATTTTCACCTTATAATCAAACAAAGTATTTACATAATAGTACCTTCATGATGGCTCAATTAGATAGATACTGAAAACAAAACTATAGCTAAAAAAACTGATGTTACTAGTATTTTTTGGAATCATTATTACTTTAGTGAACAATGTAAGACGTTTCTTATGTACGTTAAACTGAGTTATCACGGAAAGAAAAATGGCATGTAAAATATGCAATTACACTAAAATAATTTTAGAAATAAAACTAATTAAGCAACTTAGTTTTAAGAATTATTTATAAGCTGGTAAAGAATCTTATAAAAAATTTAAAATCGAAACAAAAATTACGCAAAGAAAAAATTAAAGCACAAAAGAAAGCAGAACAAAGGGATAAATATAGACTCTCATAACGATCAGAAATAACCTTCTAGAATGTTACAGAATAAAAATAAATATTCAATTTCTTGTATTGTGCAGTCTGTTTCTTTTCATTACTTGATTATCATGTTTAGAGATTCTTGCTTTAAAATTTTCTTTGCTAATTAATTTTATTACTTTCTTTATTCTGAAACCTTCTTCTTTCCTGACATTATTTAATATAGCTTGAGTGTTTGAGTTTTATATATTACTCGTATGTCATACTTGATCTTTACACTTTTTATTTATAATGCTGGATTTTTAAAATAGGCTTCTTTAACGCAAAGGTAAGCAAAGTCTGCTCTTTGTCTACTGCGGAGAATCGAGCCCCGGATTTTAGCGTTATGATTTCACAAACTTCTCGCTTACCCACCAGAGAATCTTATAAAGGCAGGATGTAATAAACAAAGTCTTCTTTATTCTTTTTGGCTTTATATTTATCTGTCATCTGCAGTGTAAACAAACACAATTACCTACGAACAAACAAAGGATGACAATAACGACATTTTGTATACTTAGTACAAACTGACGTTAAATCATGTGTTATTAAACTTAAACACAAATATGAGGATGTGACTTACCAACAACATTGAGTTGCACAAGAAATGTTATTTTAGGGTCGGAACTAACTTGGCACTCGTACACTCCAACATCTGTTGACTGTGGATATTTAATTTGAAGAGGCCAATCATGACTCCCCTCTATATGAGCAACACTGAATCTGTCATCATTAATGTAAGTCTCCGTTCCAACTGTTAGAAGATGAAGATCTTTTCTTCGAATCCATGATACCTACGTCAAGAGACATAAACATTAAGCTAGGTAGATTACTAGGACAGTACTGAATTATTTAAAATAGCAAACATTAAGGTACAATTTAGAAAGTCGATTTTAAAAACATACGCCCAAGAATTTTCATAATATTTAGAAATCTTTGAACGTTTAATAATTTTAAACCCAATTTGGAAGGAAAGTTAGTTGCACAACAATTAAACGTTTTGAAGTCCAGATGAAAGAATACTGTTTTTATATGCCACAAGAGACAGATATTATATGTTATCATAGTTATATAAAATGTAAATCCATATTTCTAGGATTTAAAACTATAGAAATATGAAAGTAATATTGAAACTTCCATGCAGATTAACAAACAACCCTAAAAATATTTATATTATAAGGAAGCCATTCAGTCAACAGTATCCGCCGCCTTTGATGCTATTTTTAACCGATCAGAGTGACTTACTGTCACAAAAATACCAGTCAACACTTTCCGCCGCCCATAGTGCTACTCTTAATTAATCAGAGACATTGACTGTCATGGTTACATGTTGATATAGATATAGATAGATCTAGACTCTGTGATTATGAGTTTAGCCACAAAGAGCATATAGTGACGATTTATGAAGTGAAATGATCACAGATTGTATTGTAATAACAAGTTAAAGAAGAAATCATTTGTCTTGTCAATTGTATTCTGAAGTAATTGAATCAGCCTGTGTGGGCTTTGACGAAAAGAGACAATTATTTAAGGCCCTGAATACAACTGAATACGATAGTATTGTAATAACAGAGCAGAGAAGACTAATTCAACTGTAGTAATTAACTGTGTAATGAACATTTGCATTAACCTTTGACTTGTTTTAATATATTATTTTTAAACAAGTGGACTGTGTGCTATTTGTTTAAGACATCTACTGTAAAGAATCCAGCCCACATATACATTAAAAACCTGACATTCATGGTTCAACATGTACTTATTTATTATTCAATTAAACGTTGAATGTTTGTCTGCTGAATTATTGAGAAACTTAAATCAGGAGAATAAATTCTACCCGTTCTATATAAATAAATATGAGTTCACTTGTGCTGAATAAAATACAACTAAAAACACAAAACATATTAATAAATGTGCAATGTTTGCGTTCATATGCATATATCATTCGTGTTAGCTATTAAATATGCCATGTTTTATTCCCTCTCCCCTGTTTTGAAGTCACCAACCACCTTGAACAACGACAAATATTTTCCTAAACTAAACCCAAACATGAAATAATAACTAACTTCTGCATCAACAGTTGTTATGGTGTGAACGCCTTTTACAAGCTGGCGAAGCGTGATTATAATTACACTTATCATAAAACATTATTGTTAGGCCTAATATATTTTTAACACTGCATTGTTTAAGTAGTCTCTTACGGATTTTCAAGATTATGCACCACCAGCTTGTGACAAGCGTTCATACCATAATAGTTGTAATTGTAACATATGTAAATAGTGTTCTTATCACTACTGTGTTTGGTATGTCTCAGCCAGCCTGAAGAGCTCTAGATTGAGTGAAATGCCAATAAATAGAGCAACTATAATGTAGTTGGAATAGTACTATTACACACACTTCTAATTCTTGAAAATTCCTAAGGGACTAGATTAGGAATGTAATGCTTAAAAATGTAATAGGCCTAATATTAATGTCTTATGATAAGTATGATTATAATTTCAATGCCGTTTGCCATAAACATTACTATGGAGAACAATGCCAATTTTTAAATTTTCGTCTTTGTCGCTAATGGTAGATTCGGAAAAAAAGATTCATCTCGAAATACAAATCCTCTTATAATTGGCTAGTGTTATTTGCTTCTCAGTTGTAGTAGTTTTTGTTGTGAGACACGCACTGCTTCAAATACTTGAATGTTATTACTATACAGAAGGTGTATTGATGCAGGTTTTGTGTATTCGTAATCTTAGGAACAGATTTTTTAATGTTCAAAATGAGTTCGAATATTATTGTTATTTATTTTATGCATATGAACATTATTTTCCATCGTTACCTTACAATATAAATTTAGGATTAGCGCATGTTTCTTAAACATGTCGTAAAGTATTATGACTATTGTTAATGGTGAGGATACCACTAATGATTCAGTGCATTCTAATCGTTATAAGTCTTAGTTTCGTAGGAGTATTGTTTGTTAGTGGTGAGGATACCACTAATGATTCAGTGTATTCTAATCGTTATAAGTCTTAGTTTCGTAGGAGTATTGTTTGTTAGTGGTGAGGATACCACTA